TCTTCCCTGTTTTCTAATTCACTAATCAGGTCCTTGGCTTCCTCTACCCTGCTGATTAGTCCTTCCAATGTGCTTTTAATTTCTGCTATGTCATTCTTCATTTCCACTTGGTTGGTTTTCAATGTTTCTATATCTTTACTCGTGGTGGAGCTTCCTCAAGATCATGGCTGTGAACTCTACTCTGATAACTTGCTTAACTGCATTTCATTTATCTCATCTTTGGTAGAGTTCTCTTGTTCTTTCATTTGGGATGCGTTTTTTTATCATTTTGTCTATCTCAGTGGGTTTTGGAGCCTGCCAAATTTTTCCTGTGTTCTGGTGTTAGTGGCTCCCTTAAGTGCATTTAGATGAGTGTGGGAGGACCCACATTAAACACCACTGTCAAGTCTTACTTTCCTGAGTATATTTGCAATCCCAGGAAAGGTTCAGTTATCCTCTAGCTTTTTGCTTGGAGGCTATTAGTGTCAGTTACTTGATGAGCCTTGGGTTGTAGCCCTCACCTGAATGAAAAACTCCCTTAGGTGTTCAGAGTAAAGAGCATTTCCAGAGGGTGGGGCAGATGCTGGTTGTTAATAAGCATTTCTCTGTCCCAATTTGGTGTGTTTAAATTCCTGCGGGAGGAGCTGTTTCTTCTCCTCGGGGCTTTGTGGAGGGATAAGATGGCCACTGTCCTATGAAGGAGTTATTCAGCACAAAACTCTTTGTGCTTTCCCAGCTCTCCAAGCTCCCGAGTGTGCACACAGTTCCAGTCCAGTTCTCCCTTTCTCTTTTGGAGCCCAATGTGAGTGGCTGTAGCTAATTTAGTACTCTGTCCAAGCCCTCTGGGCTCTGGAGCTGGCTTGGGATTTTAACCCCATGGGAGCTGCTCACAGCTAAAACAGCTGCTGTCCATGGGCTCCCAATCTGCCTTCTCGAGCCTCCGCAGACCTACCAGTCGCGATTCTGTGGTCTTTTTCTTGTTCGTGGTTATATGAATCCTTTTCAGGTGCTTTTATGTTGCTTTTTCCTGATGATTTGTCTTTATTTTAGTTGTAATTCCAGTTTAGTCCTGGGAGATGGTCTGTGTAGCTTCCATTCACTCTGCCGCCATTTTTCCAAAAATCTGTCTGTGCCTCTAACCTGACTCCACTAACCCCATCCAGCCTCACTGTCCTTCAGTTCCTTACACAGGCCACATTCTTTTTTACCTTAGAAGCATAGGCCCACTCTGCCCTTTCCTCTGCTTGGAGTCCCTGTGGGTGGTTCCTTCTCATCCAGCTGGTCAACTTCAGTGCCACATCCTCAAGGGAACCTTTCCTGAACATGCAGGAAGAATTAGATCCTCCAGTTATTCTAATAGCACCTCCCCATGTTTTTGTAATTCTGAATTTATTAGTTGATGATTTAATTAATGTCCCCTGCCCCACCCAAGCCTAGGACACAAACTGTTTCTGTTCTGCTCACCCCTGTATCGTTCAGGGCCTGGTACATGAGAGAAACTTAATAAGTATGTGTTGAGTGAATGTATATTCAGCTTCTCAGCCACTTGACATGGATATTAGTAAATACAGGGATGAGCAAAAGTAGGTTTACAGTTGTGAGTGTACAAAACACAGCTTATTCTTATTTATTTGTATTACAACTGCAAACCTAATTTAGCCTACCCCTGTATTCATTGAGTGAGTTGTTAAAAAGATGGGTAGAAAATAAATGACTGAAAGGAAATTCTATTTTTCCCATTCTTAAGTTGGTAAAACTAGCTACTTTTGTACGGTTTTGGTGTCCTAGATGGAATTTTGTATTCTTGAAATGTGTCTTGGTGGAATGAGAGTTTACCAGTGACTCCATGTGGCAATCTGTGTGCATGCACCCTGTGAGAGCCCACAGTAGTGTTATGCTACCCTGTATCCATCTTTATCTGTTTCACAATTTTCTGTCTAGGCCTTTAAAAATCTTGATTTGCAGTTATTAGTCTTTCACAGTGCTCTCTTAAGGCATTCTTTATTATTTCAGTCATAAGAGCACAAGCCCTGTTGAAAAAAGAACATGTTTGAATAAAGCCTGGTTGGTGGTTGGCTTAATGGGTGGGGCTGGGGCTGTCAGGTGGTACAAGGCTCTGGCCACCCTCTCTCACAGGGAGGCTCTTAAACACGAGGGTCTCTTGGGCTCCCAGAAGGTCTGGAATCTCAGCTCAGTGCTCTCTGCCAGTTGTGTTTTTGCCACAAGGGGCATTTATCTTCCAGAACCAGGGGCAGTCATTGTCTTCAGATGTGCTGGGTTTTCAGCAGCCTCTTGTTCTTGGCATTGAGGATGCAGCAGTAGGTAGATGTTGGCCCTTGTCTTAAGGATTTAGAAGTGAGCATATATAGGAGACTGGATCATAGTCTGTGGGTACCATGTGATATACCACATTAGCAGTGAGGGTGCCACAGGTGCTGCCAACACAGACACCAAGTCAAAGTTCAGCAACTTACACAAAAAAGCAAATTATTGATTAGGCATATGTCCTACATATGTAGTCAGCCTCTATTCAACCGTATGCATGTGTATATAAAATGAAAGTGAATGTGACACACCAAATCCAAAAGGAGTGGTTATCTCCAGCTGGGGCAGGTAAGAGAACTAGGTGGGATGGGAGCACATGGGAATATAGAGTTCTTGGTAATGTTGAGTCTTGGGTGGATCATAGGTTGTGGATATTTATTATATTGTTATTTAAATTAGTAAGTACATAGAGGTGGGGCTGACAGAGCCGGCAACCAGCATGACAAGTCAGACTCAGAGCCACAGAGGATAGTAAGAAGTTCTATCTAGAGGGGGCAGAAAATTCCCAGGATGTGCCCTGAAAGCTGAGGCTTTAGGGTGAACAAAATTTTTCCAGGTGAAAGACATCTCAGGGAGAAGGAGCCTCATGGACCCAGGGCAGAGACATACAGAACTACAGTGTATGCAGTGAATCATTCAAGCTTCCACTGGCTATGGTTGAAGGCTTGGGAGAACATGGGGTAGGAAGAGCTATAAGAGAGGCCTGGTAGTGGGAGGCTCCAGTGGAGGCAGGGGAGCCCAGCAAGCAGAGGGGATGCTGAGAGCTGTGGTAGCCCCCACCCACCCTGAACAGCATCACTCAGTGGGAGGGACTGGTTTCCCATAGAAGTTCAGTTGACTAAAGCATCTTTCTGTTCACAACAGCTACACCCAAAAGATTTTAAAGTCACTATGTAGAATATAGGAGCTCATGTAGGTGTTGGTGTCAAAGGATTGCATCATCAGACCTGTGTTTTAGAAAGCTGGCTGGGAGGAAGAAGGACAGGGTTTTGGACCAGAGAACATCTCACTGGGCTGCTATAGTTCTTGGGGAAAGAGTTGTGATTTGGGTACCTACCTCACTAGGCAGACACTTAGTGTAAGATAATATTCAAATTCTCCAGTAACTTTAAGATGCATTTCTAAAAATCTAAGTTTGCCATTACCCTTACAGACCATTTCAGAGATGTTGTATGTTTCTCTTTGATTGATCTTGACTGTGGCTTTTGACGCAGTGCTTCTCACTTTCTCTGTTCCCTGACCTCTTGGTTAGGTAATTAATGATCTTTAAACAAACACTTGCGTATTATAGCTCTCCAGGAAGGGACCTAGGCCTGATGTCAGCATAGCATTCTCCTTTTATCCAGGGAGAAAATGAGTGTTCCATATGCCACATTTTGTAGATGGGGGTGTTTGTCTGAAATATATTACACATTTCTCTGCTTTGCTAAGCAGAAACCCATGAACATGATTTCATCTCACCTCTGAGACAGTGGATCTTAGTAGGAACATTCATTTATTTTGTGAACATTTGTTAGAGCCTGTTTCATGTCTGTTCCTGATTTACCAGCTGTGGATACAGACATGTGCCTGGTTTAGAGTCAGTGTAATGGTTTAGAAGAGAGATAAAATCAGGTTTGCCTAAACTCCTGGGTGACTTCCCACCTGCCCGCCCTGCCCGCCCTGCCCTCCCCGCTGAAGCCCCCCCCCCCACCTCTTTGTTTATTTCTAAAATTCACCAAGCCTCTTTCAGGATATTGCACTTATTAGTTCCCCTGTTTAGAACTTTTTCTGGACCTTCACACAGCTCCTTCCTATGATCATGTCTTAGTTCAGACATCACCTCAACAGAGGTCTTTCCTGACCACTGATCTAAAAAGCTAGACCCTCCCCCAGCCCCAGGTTTTCTCTATAATGTGTTATATGTAATTATATTAGTTATATATACTCAAACATAAAATTTTGTATTTTATTTGTATTAATATAAATTTAGTTAATATTAACATATTAATATATTTGCAATTTTATTTTATTTTTCCTGGGTACTAAGCTCGTTGGAAACAGACCTCACTCTATTTCTGCCCTTAGAACAGTGCCTGGCATACAGCCAGGATCTGTGTATCAATGAATGAAGAGTGGCCCTGCCCTGGAGAAGCCTGCAGGCTAGGAGCAGCTGGGTACAGATTAAGCAGTGATAGCACAGCAGGCTGAGTGTGATTCAGAGGGGCTGGGGTGACACCACGGAGAACGAGACAGATCCTACCCACTGGAGTCTGGGAAGACTCCACAGAGCAATGGTATGCTTTCAAGGACAGATGGGCATAGCTTGGCAGGCTGAGGAACTGGAACTGGGGGCCATTCTACAAAGAATGGTAAGCCTATATAAGAGGGCTCAAGGCAAGAAGGTATGGGACTGAAGCATGGGATGAAGCAGGGACTAGAAGGTTGGAAGAAACTAAGGTAGGGCAGGTTTTGGCTGCTGTGACCACTGCCCACATCCTAAACTAGGATGCCCTGTGGACCTGGACTTCATATTTGCAGGGTGGAGCCTTCTCTGTCCAAGGGGAGTCTGACCAGCCCTAGAGCACCCTTTGGCTGGCACTTCAAGTGCCAGTTAAGTGTTGGCGGCACTGGACAGGGATTTCTCCAGCTGGAGCCCCTCTCCTCAACCTCAAGGCTTGTGGGTTTCATGAGCTTTGTCTCTTGCTCCTGACCAGGTGGTGAAGAAGGTCAAGTCCATGCAGATGTTTCACATGCCTGTTACCTCGGCTGTGCAGGGAGACCGACTGGGCATCTGTGTTACTCAGTTTGATCCCAAGCTGCTGGAGCGTGGCCTGGTATGTGCCCCGGAATCCCTGCACACTGTCCATGCGGCCCTCATCTCCGTGGAGAAGATCCCATATTTCCGGGGGCCCCTGCAGACCAAGGCCAAGTTCCACATCACTGTGGGCCATGAGACGGTCATGGGCAGGTTGATGTTCTTTAGTCCTTCCCCCGACAGCTTTGACCACGAACCTGTGCTAGACACCTTCGATTTCTCCCGAGAATACCTGTTCCAGGAACAGTATCTCTGTAAGGATCTGGCACCAGCAGCAGCAAGCAGTGGCCAAGCCAACAAGAAGGCAGGCCAGGCCTCAGAAGGTCTCTGTCCCCGACAGCAATGGGCACTCGTGGAGTTTGAAAAGCCTGTTACCTGCCCTCGACTGTGCCTGGTAATTGGTTCCAGGCTGGATGCAGACATTCACACCAACATGTGCCGGCTGGCCTTCCATGGTGTCCTGCTGCACGGACTGGAGGACAAGAACTACGCCGAGAGTCTCCTGCCCAGGCTGAGAGTATACAAGTTGAAGCACAAGCACGGCCTTGTAGAACGGGTAAGCAGCTCCTCCATGCCCTTCTGTTGGGCTCTGGTGGCTGGGATGGATACAGTTTGGCATCTGAGATGAGAGCCAGGTAGGCCTCAAAGACCTTCTGGTCCCAATTTCTGTTGTTTTTAGGCAAGGAGACTGAGACCTTCAGTTGTTGAGTGGCCCAAGTTCTCTCAGCCCATGAGTCATTGTGCTGGTGCCTAAACCCAGGCTGGGGAGCCCACTATACTCACCACAGCCCAGCTGCTCTGGCCCTCCTCTGGAGCTCACATCAGGCAAAGTAGGTGTGGCTGTCACACAAGCCAGTTTCAGACAGCAGTGTTTCACCTGAGCCAGCAACCAGCTGTGTCAGTGGCCTTCCTGAGCTTTGGATGGGAGGCTGGGCCCTACTCTGTCACCCTGATGCTAGGCCCTGTCTCTCAGTGAGGGGCTGAGCCTTCATCAGGAAGGGTGGCTGCCGTGTCTGTCCCAAGTTGGTCATGTCAAGGGAGGAAGCATGGCTGGTCATGCAGGCCAGACTAGGCCAAGTCTGTCCTCAGCCTGTAGGGTAGAGAAGTAGGAACTAATAGTAGCAGGGTGTGCCAGAGAACAAGAAGTGAGAAGGCTCAGGAAGATGAAATCGAGAGGGAGGGCCTAGACTGCTGGCTTTCTGGGGTACCTGGTGTCACTGGAGGCAGGTCTTAAGTATGTGGGTAAGCTAGTCTAGTTTATAGGAATACCATTAGAGTGGATAGATGTGGTGGCCTGAGAGAGCCTACACAGGGTTCCAAAGTCCTGCAATTCTCTTCTCTCATTGGGTGGACCTGCCTACTCTCAACATCTATCCATATAGGTCTGAGTGGGAATCCATGCCTATCAGGCCTCAAATGAATGGGTGGACAGACATGTAAATCTCACTGTCCCTGGAGCTTTCTGCATAGGTGTGGGTCTGTGCAGGCAAGGAATGGCTGAGGGTGGGCCCAAGACTGGGCATTAGCTGACTGAGCATGACAGTACTGAGACCCCAGTGTTGGGGAGCTCAGGCTCCTAGTTGGGTGTGCCCTGAGGCTCTCATTAGACCCTACAGTTCTGTTCATCAGACAGTGGGATGAGGTCACCCCCTGATCTAGCCCTGCTAGTGTCAGCAGAGGCGCTAGCACAGTTTCAGACCCATACCAAACAGGTGCTCAGGAGGAGCCCAGAGCCTTGGGCATTAGACAGTGTTGGAGTTACCATTGCCTACCACCCTCCTGTCTTCCTCTCTTTTTCCAGATCCTCAAGTTTTCTCTCTGGAACTGTCTGTCATTGAAGACCATTCCCCACCCCTCTTCATCTCAGAAAGCTTCCTAGGTACTCAGGCTCTGTCCCTCTTCCTCTCCTCCTACACCTAAACCCACCCTCCAGTGGGGAAATGAGAAGCCCATTCCTTAACCACTCACAGGTCCAGAATTTGGGATTCCCAGCTCCATGAACACAGCCCTCCAGCTCAGCCAGGCATAGCTTAGTTACCTTGTGTGTAGATTCTGGAACTGGGTCTACATCTATCTCTGCTGTTCTCTGGCAGGGGACTAACCTCTGTGAACGTTGGTTTTCTTATCTGCAGAGCAGTGGCATATACCTAAGTTCCTAAGGTCACTGAGAAGTGTTGAAGGCTGACCATGGAGCCTGTTCAAGGGCTCTGTCAGCCCTAGGCCAACCCCAAGATACTGTTGAAAATGAAGGTGAAACATCACTCATTTGTCTCTTGATTTATTAGCAGCATTATGGAGTATAATTATTTTGTGGTGAAATATCTACTGTGGAGTAAATGCCCCACTTGGTATATTCATGGATCTAATTGCCCTCATGCAAGCCTGTCAGTGGTGGGGTGAGTCACCTCCTTTGGGGACAGGACCGTGTATTTGTGAGGAGAAGCAAGTAAACACACTGCTGAAATTAATCAAGCTGGAGTGTCCTTGGTGGGAGACTTTCCTTCCTGGTAGGATTGGTAAGGCATTGAATTTGGAGATCAGATTGTTAGGGCTCAAACCCTGGCTGTGCTGTGCAACATTGCATACCTTGGACAGCCGTTTTATCTCATCATCCTTGTTCATTCAGGGCAAACTATTGACAACATAGGGTTGTTTTTGAAGGAGCCACCATAGCATAGGTCACCATATGTAAGAGTTAGTTCTAGTGTAGGTGTAGCCAGAAGGCTGGGCTGTTTATGAGGGGCGACCCTGTTTGCTTTAAGCAGGACCCAGAGTGCCCAGAGATTTTCAGATCTCTTGGCCGGCCATGGCCTGGGCCATGTAGCAGACTGGTCAGATGTACAGGGCTAGGGCCCAGTGGGCCTGGGCTTCATTTCTGCTCTTGCCACTGCCTAGTATGTAAATGGGATAGTTATGAGACTTCCCTGCACCTGAGGTATGTTACAATGCTGCCCTGTGGGGTCAGATGGAGGAGAGATAGGGGAATGCATGTGAGGGCCCAAGATCAGTGCTTGGCTCCTCCAACTCTGTGCTTGCTCTTTTTATGATTATTCATTTTCAAACTTTTTGAGTCAGAATAATCTGACTGGAGCTTGGAGCCAGATTGGTATTTCACTCTTTACCCCAGGACATCATTATCCCTCTCTGAAGCAGAGGGACCAGTTCCCTGAGCCCTGTCAGGAGCCTCGCAGGGCTGCTGCAAGTGGCATGTTTGGGGAGAGAGCTAAGAGTCAGTCTAGCTTATGGGTGTGGTTGTCCAGGGCAGGGAGAGCCCCATGCTGATCTTTCCTCAACCATGCTTGGCTGCCTCCAAAATTTTCTGGGCACATCACAACTACCTCCCAGCATCCTGGGCACGCCTCCATTCAAAGAAGTCTCGAAGAGGCCAAGCCATCTTGAAACAGTTCAATTCAATGCCCTAGGACAGATCTTCATCACCATGGCAAGCCAACGCCCAGCCTTTGCTCTGTGATGCTGGGTAAGCTCATTGTGTCTGCTCTGCAAGCACGGTCTACTTTCTGAGAGCTCAGCTTAGACCTCCAAGATGTCCTCCATTCATAGAGAAGAAATGCCCAGACCTCAGTAGATATGTGTTGAATGGACACTTCCCACCTGGAGGTATATAGGTCTTCTGAGCCTATTACCCTAAAGGTATTATTCACTCATATGTTCAGATGTTTACTGAGCACCTGTGTATGTCAGGCACTGCTGATACAGCGAGATGGACAAAGTTCTTGTCCTCACAAAGGAGACTGACAAGGAATAGTAAATTGGACACTTTCAGGTAGCAGGAAGTTCTAGAAAGAAAATAAAACTGAGGGAGGTAACTGGGAAATACTGAAGACCATGCAATACACATTGCAGAGGCCAGCTCTCAGCCCTCCCCAGCATTTCCTCTTCCTGTGCTAGTTTTCTCTGGATTCTCTCTCTGAGCTGCTACAATCAAATACAACATAATTAACTCACCACTGAAAGTGGCTTTCCTTTCTCAGCAACAAATGAGTCACTTGGGAACTGACCTTGGTTGTAGCCTCATTCTCATTTTTTATTTTTGTGAAGAAATTCTGCTGTGATAAGATATGCTATTTGAAATTTTTTCACTTTTCTGACCATTGTTTTTCTGTGAGCTGGGAATGTAGGTATTTGATGTCAATGTATACTGTATTCTGTCAGCAGAGCCAATAACAAATACAACACTTTGTCATATAATTCAATAAAATAATATCCACACTCCGGAGAGCCTCAGAAGTATGGCATTCGAAGTCCACTTTTTCTGTTTTGAATATGCACTGGTGGATGTGCACTGATAATACAAGTAAATAAGTAAAACACATGGTTGGGTGAGATGCTGTGGAGCTCTCCCTGTGTCACTGTGATTTGTTGTGCACCCAGCACCTCCTAGGTCTGTGTTGCAATTGCTCAGCTCTGCTGTGAACAAGAAGGAAACAAGTCAGCATAGCTGAATGCCAGTAAACTTTACTTATGGATACTGAAATTTGAATTTCTTATAGTTTTCATCCATCATAAAATAGTCTTCTTCTTTTAATGTTTTTCAACCCACTGGAAAATGTAAAATCTATTCTTAGCTAAAGACCTTACAGAGATAGTGGACAGAATTTGGCCCTCTCACTAGTTTTTCGACCCCTAATAAATAGGTATCTTGAAATAATACACATCCTACAAGGAAAAGTCTGACGTCACAGCTACAAGTTCTCCACTCTCTCTGCATTCCCTAGGAGTTGGGTTCTCTGGTGGTATTAATAGAGCTAGTCCTGAGCCCTCACCCCAGTGGGGTGAAGGGAAGTGAAGGTGTTCTGAAGGGCTGTCTTTCTAGGGAGAGGGCTTAGGGAAGGGAATTAGAGCATATGGTGATGAGGGAAATTGTTAGTATCCTATTTTAAGTAAAAGTATAGAATTGTGTATAGAATTATGAACACAGAAAAGAAATTGTGAATGGAATAGAGAAGTATATAGAACTTCCACATTAACTAAGGAAAAACTGCAATGAATTAAACCAACAAAAATAAGAAAAACAAGAACACTGTTTATAAATAATAAAAACAGAAAGAACAAAATTATGTGTTAGTCACTCTAAATGTGAGTAGCTGAGTTCTCCTATTTAGATACAGAGACTGATAGATTAAATAAAAATGAAAAATCTGGTTATATGGTGCTTATGTGAAGCATACTTAAAGTGATAAACAAAGGTTAATAGAAAGATGTTAGGTGACTATAAACAAAAAGAAAGAATGAGTAATAATATTAATTTCAGACAATGTAGAATCTAAGATTACGAATACTAGCCAAGATAAAGAGAGACATCATGTAATAATAAAAGGCACAGTTACAAACTTGTATACATAAAACATCCTTAGAAATCCAAGGAGAACTTGATAAAAAAAAGGAATGATAATTGCAGTGGGGCACTTTAAAGTGCATATTTCAAAATTGGATAGGCCCACTAGAAAGCACATAAAAGACAGAGATGTAATACAGTCACTATGCTTGATTTCTAGATAGGCAGATGGAAACTCTTACATCCCGTGAATAGATAAT